AGAGTAGGCTGGTGGCGAAGGGGTTTATGCAGAAGGAGAAGCAGGACTTCAACGAGATCTTTGCTCCCACTGCCAAACCCCCTACCCTCCGTGTCTTGTTGGCAGATGCAGCTGTTAGTGGAAAATTCATCATTCAGATGGATATTTCAACGGCATTCCTGAATGGGATTTTAGAGGAGGATGTGTACATGACGCAGCCGCCTGGGTATGAGGATGGTACGGGCAGGGTGTGCAAGCTCAACAAGTCCATCTACGGCTTGAAGCAGGCGCCACGCTGCTGGTACCAGAAGTTGGCAGCTGTTTTAGAGGAGATGGGATTAGGACAGCAGCTGTGATGAGAGCCTCTTTCTCAAGGGTGAGGGGGAGAAGCTGGTGCTGTTTCTGGTCTATGTGGACGACATTCTTCTCTTCAGCAGCAGCATGAAGGAGATCCAGAAAGTGCAGCAGCAACTGATGGAAAACTTCAAGTGCAAGAACCTTGGGGAGGTAAAGTACTACCTCGGGATGCACGTGGAGAGGGATCCAGATCACAGGTGGTTGAAGCTGCACCAGGAGAAGTTCATCAAGGAAGGAAGAGTATGGGGAGAAGTTGGGATTGAGAAGAGCGCAGGTTGCAACTCCCCTGCCAGCAGAATTCAAGCTTGTGAAGGCTGCGGAGGATGAAGGGGTTGAAGCTGAGGAGCAGCAGCAATTTCAGTCCTTGGTGGGCAGCCTCTTGTACGCAGCAGTTCACACGAGGCCCGACATCTCTTTCTCGGTTGGGCAGCTGGCTAGGGTGGTGCAGAATCCATCAGAGGAGCAGGTGGATGCAGCTGAGCGTGTGGTGAAGTACCTGAACTCTCACCCAAGCATTGGAGTTCAATACTCCGCATCTGCACAGGTGAAGCAGAAAGGGGTGGAGGTGCTGAAAGAGAAGGGGGAGAGGCTTGGAGAAGGCAAGCTATTTCTCACTTGCTTTACCGATGCTACATGGGCTTCTGAGAAGGAGGATTCCTCATCTGTGAGGATGGATACATCTGCGTAGTTGGGGGAGGACCTGTTAGTTGGAGGTCCAAGAAGCAGACGGAGACGGCACTCTCTTCCGTAGAATCAGAGTACATGGCGATGTTCCATGGGGTGAAAGAGGTGAGGTGGATTTGGCTGAGGAGGAGCTGTTAGAGGAGATTGGCCAGGAGCAGAAAGTTGCTACGCCGCTGTTTTGTGATAGCAAAGGGGCTCTTGGGATGGCCAGGAACGCTGTGCTTCATGGGCTGAACAAGCACATGCGTATCAAGTGGCACTGGCTGCGTAAGGAGGTGAAGAGGGGGACGGTGAATCCAATCTACATCAAGACTCACCAGCAGCCAGCAGACTTTCTCACCAAGAGGCTTGCGGATGAGCCTCATTGGCGTTGTGTGTGCATGAGTGGAATGAGCATGAACTAGCATGGAATGATGGGGATGCAGCCGGCAGGCTGAGGGGAAGTGTGTTGGGTGCAAATTCACATTGCACGACATCCTGCCGTCTGTTTGTACGAGTATGCGTGTGCGAATGCATTTGGGTGTGAATGGAATGTTCGTGTGTTTGTTTGCTTTCGCAATTTTCGCTTGATGCATTTGCAGGTACTCGCGCAATGTGCGCTTCGGCACAACATTGTACGCGCTATGAACAGTGCAAGCAGAAAGGACGAGCTTGCAAAGGAACCCAAGATGGAAGCTTTGCAGTTCGGTTGAGTTGATTGCGCAGATTCAGTTCTATCCAACTCGAAATTGTACTGTTTTGTTTGGTTAACTATAGTGTAGCAGGGAAGGCACTATAGGGGTACAATTTAGGTGAAGGTTGGATGTTGTTTGTCTGTATCTGCATGCTACAAGGCCAGGGGAAACCAGCGGAACCAGCATTTGGCTGGTTGGGCAAAGACAAAACAGGTTCTGTTTTTAGAACCTGAACCTGGTTGTTGTTTTCCCAGGTTGGAAAAACAGAACCAGAGGTTGTTTACCAACCTACCACCTGCTATTTTTTCCAGCCAGGTTGGTTCTGTTGCTTGGAATTTTTTGGGATCATCCCTGGTTGTTCCCAGGTTGATTCCCAAGGTCCTTGCTAGCTAGAACTATTTAATCCTTCTCTGTTTGTACCTGAATATAGTCAAATTGATTCAAGCGAATTCCTTCCTCGCTGGAATTTCGTTTCTGCGCTATTCGACGGCGGAATGCTACCCGAGTCAACGCTAGTATGCTAGCACTCCAACGCTAGGCAAACGCTGTCCGAGCCATAACTTAGTAATGGCAGAACTTTTCGCGAGGCAACTTGGCTCATTTTAAAGCTCTTGGAGCGAGCTTCGATATAGCGAATTCTCAGCTTAATCCGATCGACGGTCTGCACGGCACGCTGCGCGACGTTCAAGGTACTCTTGCTGTTTTGACTAAGTCCTTCTTGATCCCTCTCTCTACAAACTCGGACCCGAGGATAGGGGCTGGTCTTGTACCAGGCACCCAGGGACCCTTGGAGGTGACCCCGAGGAGAGGTTTTAAGTTTGATTAAGTCCTAATAGCTTGAGTTTATTAGGCCCTTACACCAACAATGCTGTTACTCTTGGCACCAACCATATGGGTAAGTAACGCACATTTACACATTGTAGCAACCATATGGGTATAACACTCTTATTCTTGGTACCAACCGTATGAGTAAGTAACGCACTGCTTTTATGTACCAATCATTTGGGTAAGTAACACATTTATAATTCTTGCCAACCCTATGGGTAAATAAGCATTTACTATTAGTACTATCCATATGGGTAAGCAACGCAGATACTCTTGGTACCAACCATATGAGTAAGTTATCACTTGGTACCAACCATATGTATAAATAACGGACCTTCTCTTTGTACCAACCATATGAGCCAACCATATGGGTAAGTAACGCACTACCACTATGTGCCAACCAAATGTTGTTGTAAGGGCCAATAAACTCAAGCTATTAGGCTTTAATCAAACTTAAAACCTCTCCTAAGAGTCATCTTCAAGGGTCCTTGGGTGCCTGTACAATAACAGCCCCTATCTTTGGGTCCGAGTCTGTAGAGAGAGGAGTCAAGGATGAATTAGAGTACCTTGTACATTGCGCAGCGTGCCGTGCAGATCATCGATCAGATTAAGCTGGGAATTTGCTAAATTGAATCTTTCTCCAAGATCTTTTAAATTAGCCAGGTTGCCTCGCAAAACGTTTTGCCATTACAATGTTATATTTCGGACAGCATTTGTGAGGATCTGGTTCAGGAAAGATGATTCTATTGAATGATTCACCTGGGTACAAGGCGAGGCTATATATAGGCTCGACACAAAGGCAGTAACCCGGGTGTTACTAGAAGGTTCCGCGGGTCGCGAAGCGTCCCGAATGGGTCCTTCCCGAATTCGGTAGAAGGCAATTCGGTGGCAACCGAAAAGCCTAGAATTCGGTGCACTCAACCTAGTTCGGTGCCTACAACTATAATAACTATAGTAAAGGCAACGAATCTAGGAAATCAAGCAAAAGCATGCAAGATAAAATAAAGCTAAGCTAGTAATAACATAATAAAGTCCAGGCAAGCTAGCAAAGCCAGCATAAGCCGTCGTACTCTCACAGATTGGCCCCTAGCGTTGTGGTGCTAGCGTACTAGCGTTGACTCGGGTAGCATTCCGTTGTTGAACGCGTAGAAACTAGAATTCCTGCATAGAAGAATTCGCTTGAATCGATTTGACTATATCCAAAGTACAAATAGAGAAGGAATACGTAGCTAGAGCTAGCAAGGACCTTGAGAATCAACCTGAGAACAACCAGGGATGATCCCAAATAATTCCAAGCAACAGAATCAACCTCCCTGGACAATATAGCAGGTCGTAGGTTGGTAAACAACCTTTGGTTCTGTTTTTCCAACCTGGGAAAACAACAACCAGGTTCAGGTCCTAAAAACAGAACCTGTTTTGTCTTTGCCCAACCAGCCAAATGATGGCTCCGCTGGTTTCCTATGCAGATACAAACAAAAACATCCAACCTTTACCTAAATTGTACCCCTTTGGAGCCAGCCTTGCTACACTATAGTCAACCAAACAAAACAATACAATTTCGAGTTGGATAGAACTGAATCTGTGCATTCAATCAACCGAACTGCAAAGCTTCCATCTTGGGTTCCTCTGCAAGCTCGTCCTTTCTGCTTGCACTATTCATAGCGCATACAATGTTGTGCCGAAGCGCACATTGCATGGGTACCTGCAAATGCTTCAAGCGAAAATTGCAAAAGCAAACCAACACGCAAACATTCCATTAAAAAAAAAAAACAAAAAAAAACAAAGAAAAAAACCACAAAAAGAAACATTCGTACGCGTATACTCGTACAAATCGACGGCAGGATGTCGTGCAATGTGAATTTGCACCCAACACACTCCCCCTCAGCCTGCCGGCTGCATCTCGGTGGTGGTTATCCCGAGGTCGCCTTGGCAGTCGCCAGCGCAAAGGACGATTTGGTGCGTGCGCTGTGCAGGTGACGAGGCACAGCACATCTGCGAGCACCTGCAAATCGGGTACGCAGCAATGCTACAGGAGCAACGCTGGCATGCCGTCGACTTGCGCTGTTGTCACGCCGTCGAACTGCAGCGTTGGCAAGCCGCGACTCTGCACTGCTGGAGCGCGGTCGACCAAGTCGTGCTGGCACGCGGTCGACCGTGCTGCGCTGGCAGTCATTCTGCTTGCACGCTAGCTCTGATGTAGTCTTGCCTTGCCAACTTCATTGTATCATTGTTGTGAACTTTTGGTAGTAAAACTCTTGCCGAATTTCCCGGCGAACCAGCAAGTAGTGCAAGCACTAAGGAATAGACTAAGGAACGCAGGGATCAACCAAGCCCCGTGCCTAGCCTGCAAGCCCCCGTTGAAATAGTTATCTTTGCATGGTGCGGTAAGCCTGGATGGCACCGCGACGTAGTTTCAATCTAGCCGACTTTTCCACTTACCTATTGTTTTCGTAGGCCGGCAGCTGTGCGTTAGTCACCAGCATGGTTGGCGGAGGTGACGATAGTGTTGGAGACACCCTCGAGGCACGGCTGGAGAACGCGAGGAGACGCCATGAGGCGAAGGAGTTCGGCGACCTCCCCTGGGCGGTCGTCGAGGCTGGCATCCGCGCCGTGTGGGCGACGGAGCACCCTCCTTCTCGGCCTGCATCTCCTCTACGGTGAACACCAAGGGCGGCGTCGACGTGGGCGTCCACGCCGGTAGTGACCAGGTCGGCAGCAATGCGGAAGGCACGTCGTCGAGGCAGCGCGGATTGATTCACTCCGGTGAAGTCGGCGGCGTTCAGGCGCGAGGGATGCAGTCGTCGGCGGCTGCAGGCACCTTGCAGGTGACGTCTGAGGACGTCGGAGCGGTTGGGCACTAATGTCGGCGACCCATGAGAATGCAGAAGGAATTGCGTCGAGCTACGGCTACTTCAAGTTTACACCGGATAGGATCTCGGTCACCCCCCTGCTGGTTGGTCGCCTGACATTCTCACATGGAAGGAAGCCATCGAGCCTGAGGTGGAGATGGCCAGACTGATGGACTTCGCCGCTGGCACCATGGCGACGCCGTCGATGGACTACCCCGACCCTCGTGCGGAGTTTCGCGTTGTGCAGCTGCTGACCTTCACGGTCATTTTGCGGTACTGCTCGCCGGACGTGCAGATTGCCTTGAAGCCGGCCATCAGGTGTGGCACTTCATCAAGTCAACGTACCAAGTCACCGTCGACCTGTACATCGGCCAGCTCGAGGAGCAGATGACGCACCTGCGGATGGGCGAGCAGGAGACGGCGACCGACTACTGCAACCGGGCCCGGCGGCTTCTCACCACCATAAGGATGGCCGGTTTCAGTACTCGACAGCGTCGTACGCCACGCACGTCCTAAAGGGGCCTTACGAGTAGCTACAACCTCCCGAAGCGGTTGTCGGTGGCGCCGAGCACGCGGGCGACACTCAACGAGGACACTCTTACCTCGCACCAGGATGAGGCGATGCAAGAAGCTGAACTGCCCTCGGAGCTCCTGCCACTGGTGAACAACACCGTCCTGGTGAAGCAAGGTGGTCAATCGGGACAGCGCAGGCAGTCTAGCGGCAGTGGAAGCAGTGGCGAGTAGGCGGTAGGCCGACCAAGGACGCCAACAAGCAGAAGTCGGCGAAGGACGGCGGTTAGAGGAGGAGGTAGTCATCGTCGGGAGTGCTAGATCTGCCACAGCCCCGACCACCTCTCCTTCGAGTGCCCTGACCGCAGTGACTCCGACGACGACGACGCCAAGGGAGGCCGCGGGAGGTCGGCCAGCCGTTGTCCGCGCCGAGGAGGAAACCAGCCGCACAAGGAGAAGCAGTCGACCAAGTCGTCGACCTCGGCGAAGGACGCCGACTCCTTTGCTGGCGGCAAGGGGCGAGACGACAAGGAGGCGTCGTGCTCGCTGGTCGGCGTCGTGGAGCCGACCGTCTCGCTGGCGCCGGAGGCCGGCGAGGACTTCCAGGCAGTAGCAGCAGCAGTGCAGGCGAACCCGGCGGTGGTCCTGCTCGACAGCGGCTGCTCGCACCATCTAATGGGGACGAAGAACGTCTTCGTCGACTTGGATCGAAGCGGCGACGTGAAGCACGTACGTGGCTTCAATAGGGCGCCGTAAGACGTTTACGGCCGTGGCACGGTTGCTTTGCGAGGGGAGGCCAGAATGCGGATGCTCATCCCCGACATACTGTACGTCCCGGGCGTGCACGCGAACCTGCTGTCGGCCGGTCAGCTTAAAGAGAACGGCGTGAAGCTGCAAGACAATGGCGATGGGATGTTGCTCGTATCGGCGACGGGCTATGTGCTTGGTCGAGCAACGTATTCCGGCTAGGTCCTTTGCACCGACTTGCGTCCCTGCTCGGCGACGAACGCAGCGGAGGTGGTGGCACTGCGGGCAATCGTCTCGGCGACGAAGGCGACGCCGGACAGGCTGCATACGAGGCTTGCGCACGTTGGTATGAACATCATTCGGAGCTCGGTGAAGCATGAGGTCGCCACCGGGCTGGACCTCAAGTCGACATCCGGTAGCGATTCCTCGTGGGTCTCGTGTATCGGAGGGAAGCTGGCAAGTGCAAACAACAAGTGCTCGGACAAGTGCTCGGACGCCAAGGATGCCCTGGCTGTTGTGCACATCTACATGTGTTGGATGCAAATTCACATTGCACGACATCCTGCCGTCTGTTTGTACGAGTACGTGTGTGCGAATTCATTTGTGTGTCAATTGTGTGTTCGTGTGTTTGTGTGCTTTCGCAATTTTCGCTTGAAGCATTTGCAGGTACTCGCGCAATGTGCGCTTCGGCACAACATTGTTGTTGGTGTAAGGGCCTAATAAACTCAAGCTATTAGGACTTCGGGTAGCATTCCGCCAACGAACCGCGTAGAAACGAAATTCCAGCGAGGAAGGAATTCGCATGAATCAATTGACTATATTCAGGTACAAACAGAGAAGGATTAAATAGTTCTAGCTAGCAAGGACCTTGTGAATCAACCTGGGAACAACCAGGGATGATCCCAAATAATTCCAAGCAACAGAACCAACCTGGCTGGACAAAATAGCAGGTGGTAGGTTGGTAAACAACCTCTGGTTCTGTTTTTCCAACCTGGGAAAACAACAACCAGGTTCAGGTTCTAAAAACAGAACCTGTTTTGTCTTTGCCCAACCAGCCAAATGCTGGTTCCGCTGGTTTCCCCTGGCCTTGTAACATGCAGATACAGACAAACAACATCCAACCTTCACCTAAATTGTACCCCTATAGTGCCTTCCCTGCTACACTATAGTTAACCAAACAAAACAGTACAATTTCGAGTTGGATAGAACTGAATCTGCGCAATCAACTCAACCGAACTGCAAAGCTTCCATCTTGGGTTCCTTTGCGAGCTCGTCCTTTCTGCTTGCACTGTTCATAGCGCGTACAATGTTGTGCCGAAGCGCACATTGCGCGAGTACCTGCAAATGCATCAAGAGAAAATTGCGAAAGCAAACAAACACACGAACACACCATTCACACGCAAATGCATTCGCACACGCATACTCATACAAACAGACGGCAGGATGTCGTGCAATGTGCATTTGCACCCAACACACTCCCCCTCAGCCTGCCGGCTGCATCCCCATCATTCCATGCTAGTTCATGCTCATTCCACTCATGCGCACACAACGCCAATGAGGCTCATCCGCAAGCCTCTTGGTGAGAAAGTCTGCTGGCTGCTGGTGAGTCTTGATGTAGATCGGATTCACCGTCCCCCTCTTCACCTCCTTACGCAGCCAGTGCCACTTGATACGCATGTGCTTGTTCAGCCCATGAAGCACAGCGTTCCTGGCCATCCCAAGAGCCCCCTTGCTATCACAAAACAGTGGCGTAGCAACTTTCTGCTCCTGGCCAATCTCCTCTAACAGCCTCCTCAGCCAAATCACCTCCTTCACCCCATGGAACATCGCCATGTACTCTGATTCTACGGAAGAGAGTGCCGTCTCCGTCTGCTTCTTGGACCTCCAACTAACAGGTCCTCCCCCAACTACGCAGATGTATCCTCCCACAGATGAGGAATCCTCCTTCTCAGAAGCCCACGTAGCATCGGTAAAGCAAGTGAGAAAGAGCTTGCCTTCTCCAAGCCTCTCCCCCTTCTCTTTCAGCACCTCCACCCCTTTCTGCTTCACCTGTGCAGATGCGGAGTATTGAACTCCAATGCTTGGGTGAGAGTTCAGGTACTTCACCACACGTTCAGCTGCATCCACCTGCTCCTCTGATGGATTCTGCACCACCCTAGCCAGCTGCCCAACCGAGAAAGAGATGTCGGGCCTCGTGTGAACTGCTGCGTACAAGAGGCTGCCCACCAAGGACTGAAATTGCTGCTGCTCCTCGGCTTCAACCCCTTCATCCTCTGCAGCCTTCACAAGCTTGAATTCTGCTGGCAGGGAAGTTGCAACCTTGCGCTCATTCTCAATCCCATACTTCTCCCCCAGCTCCTTGATGAACTTCTCCTGGTGCAGCTTCAACCACCTGTGATCTGGATCCCTCTCCACGTGCATCCCGAGGTAGTACTTTACCTCCCCAAGGTTCTTGCACTTGAAGTTCTCCATCAGTTGCTGCTGCACTTTCTGGATCTCCTTCATGCTGCTGCTGAAGAGAAGAATGTCATCCACGTAGACCAGAAACAGCACCAGCTTCTCCCCCTCGCCCTTGAGAAAGAGGCTCTCATCACAGCTGCTGGTCCTGAATCCCATCTCCTCTAAAACAGCTGCCAACTTCTGGTACCAGCAGCGTGGCGCCTGCTTCAAGCCGTAGATGGACTTGTTGAGCTTGCACACCCTGCCCGTACCATCCTCATACCCAGGCGGCTGCGTCATGTACACATCCTCCTCTAAAATCCCATTCAGGAATGCCGTTGAAATATCCATCTGAATGATGAATTTCTCACTAACAGCTGCATCTGCCAACAAGACACGGAGGGTAGGGGGTTTGGCAGTGGGAGCAAATATCTCGTTGAAGTCCTGCTTCTCCTTCTGCATAAACCCCTTAGCCACCAGCCTACTCTTGTAGATGGTGACCTGCCCCTTGTCATCGGTCTTGATCCTCAGCACCCACTTGCATTGTATCGCTTTCTTCCCATCAGGCAGCACCACCAGATCCCATGTCCCATTCTCTAGCAGGCTCTGGTACTCAGCATCCCTAGAAGCCAGCCACTTGTCCCTATCTGGTCCAGCTAATGCCTCCTCCATGCTAGCTGGTTCCTCTGGTGCAGGGGCAAGAAAACAGTACGCAGGCTCGTCCTCCTCATCCGGGTCATAGCCATGAGGTAGAATCAGCATTGCCTCCTCGGTCCCAAGCTGCTGCTCTGCTACACCTGATCCTGCAGTCAGCTTCTTAGTAGCCATACGGGTACGTCCTGGCCTGGAGACGGGTGTCTCCCATCCCTTCATAACGACACCCTTCGGCTTCTTAGTTTTTCCCTGCTGCTGCTCTCCTCCCTTGGATCCAGCAGCTTCACTAGTGCTGCCGCCACTTTCCACACCATTTTCTCCACCAGCAGATGCCTCCTGTACCTTCTCTCCATCACCATTTCCAGCAGCTGCCTCCTCTCCCTCCTCCCACACACTAGGAGTCAGGTCCAGCTGCATGGTGATCTGCTCCATCTGCTGGGACACCCGGGCCTCCGGCTGTTTCTCCCAGCTCCCATACATCATGCCCTCAATGAATTTCACATCCCTGCTGTCAAACAACACACCCTTGGATGGTTCCCACAGCAGCCATCCCTTGCTCTCAGCAGCCAGCCCCAAATGCACACACCAGATTGCACTCGCCCCCAACTTACTGCGGTAGGTCTTGGGGACGTGGGCGACTGCCATGCAACCGAACACCCTCAGCATGTCCACCGGCGGCTTCCTCCCAAGCCACCTCTCCAAAGGCACCCACGAGTCATCCCCAACCTTGGTGAGCACCCTGTTCCTAGCGACGGTGGCGTGCCGGACAGCATGAGGCCACATAGAATTGCTCAGCCCAGATTCTATGAGCAGCGCCCTAGCTGTCTCCAGAATGGTCCGGTTTGCCCGTTCTGCTACACCATTGGACTGTGGGGTGTAAGCCATGGTCAGCTCCCTCTGGATGCCCTGCTTCTTGAGCCAGGCTGTCATTTCAGCTCCAAGGAACTCACCACCCCGGTCTGTCCTAATCCGCTTCACTACACACTCCGCCTGCTTCTCCACGAACGGCAGCCAATCGTCCCGTATCGTGGAGGCGGCGTGGTCCTTCTGTTTCAGCGGATACGCCCACATCAGCCTGCTCCAGTCATCCACAATTGTAAGAAAATACCGCTCCCCCTTGTGCCCTTGCACCGGCAGCGGCCCCACCAAGTCCATGTGGACCAGCTCCAAAGGCTTCTTGCTCCTGCCAGCCACACTATGGAAAGGGAAACGGGTGAACTTTGAAAGCAAACAGATTTCACAGTTGTCATCGGGTGGCTGTCCATTCAGCTTCAAACCCTTGACGGCTCCATCCTTCTCCAGCTGCTTCAATAAGGGCATTGCCACATGCCCCAAGCGTCGGTGTGCCGTTGCCCAATCTGTCTCCCCAGATCTGGCCGACACTTTCACGCCAACCCCTCCAACGGCGTTGCACTCCCCCTGGGATGCAGACCCCTCTCTAGCCTGCCCCCCACCGTGCCACGCCAACGCCGGCAGCTGCCACATGGATCTGTACACGTCCTTGCTCTCGTGCAGATCCCAAAGCACCCGATTGCCCAGCTGCCCCTTGTACGTGCGAGCCCCATCCGTGCTAGTGCTCACCCCAGCCTTGGCAAGCTTACGGAGGGAGATGAGGTTGGCCTTGAGTTCAGGAACGAGAAGAACGTCGTGCAGCACCACCGGCTTGCCATCCGCTCCCTTGAACGCAGCTCGTCCCGCACCAGCCACCTTCAGCGCGTGTCCAGAGGCGGAGCACACCTCATTGATTGGTGCAGCGCGCACGTCGTCCAGCAGGTCCTTGCGCGGCGTCATCGTCCATGCAGCGCCCGTGTCCAACACCCAATAGTCCAGGGGGTGCAGCTCTGCTCCAACCTTGGCAGATGCGTCTCCTTGCTCCCCCTGCTCTCCAATATGGAAGAACTGGCCCGCGGTGCGCT